AGGCTATCAAACGGAGCCTTAGTGCACAGTGCCACTGCCTGAATAGAATCTCGAGAAATATTCAAATGGCGCCTGAGGGCAGCCTGTAGATGCCTTCAAATTGCATCTGAATATTTCTATGAATTGTCGATGTTACCTCATTTCCATTCCCTATCTTCCAACACACTAAAAGAAGCTGGTAGTGACCAAAAAACTACAAATTAATCCCATTCTCCAGTATGAAGTGCTTTTGACTTGGCCTAGAGGTTTGGGAAGCTAACTCTGCTAGGAAGAAGAGTGCCCTTATAAGTCGACTTACAGCATGTTAGGCTATGTTTATTCATTACATTATTTATCTTTTGTGTTCCAAAAGGATGACTGATTACTGCTGCCTTCGAATGAGTTTTCTGTTTGCAGGTTGGGCTAGCAACTGTAGTTGTGGAAAGTGCAGTAACGTCTATTTATCTCTGTTACGCTCAAGATCCCTTATTAATATGTAGATGGGATGCAGCATTCTTCGACTAGATGTCGGAGAAACTACACCAGCGCCTTCAACATAGAAGTGCACGGACGAGAGAAGTATTAAGGCATAGCGTAGCTGATCAAATACAAGAAACAGTTGGCATTTGAATATCACTCTGTACAAGATGCATCAGTTATCTGTTAAATGTAATTAATTCCTATAAAATATAAATCCTTGTTTTCTCCCCCTCAAAAGAACCCTTCTTTTACACCATATTTTCTTCCCTATAGGTGATGTAGCTTTGATAAGATATTTGATATTTGGCAACCATGTCCCGAAATGAGTTCTTCTTGGTAAAAAGGTAGCATGCATGTGTTTAATGAATGCAAATAATTAAGTATTTATGCAACTCAAAAGACCGACTTCGGGCATATTTGGGGTATCTTTGGTTTTTGTCTTTTTTTGTGAAAGATCTTCTTATAAAGTTAATTTGTATCAACTTTCTGTAAAAATCCTTCAATTAGACAAAATATTCTCAGAAAATATACAAGTAACAGCCCGTTTGTTCTGCGTTTTTTTCTAATTTGTATGAAAATTGTGACCGTTGCACAGTGAGCCTAGCCGACATTTTTGACCGTTTTGTGTGATGATGGGCCCCATTAGTTTGAATAAAACAGTCAGAAATTTTCTACTAGTTGGTTGAAAATGCAGAACAAATAGGGGCTAAATTTAAAAGTAGTTTTTGACTTTTCAAAATCCATATCAAACCAACTTGAATTTGCCTAATTCTAGTGTTTGTATTTAAGTTCAATAGTCAATACAAATATACCTTCGCTATCCTGCTTTAGAAGGTATGGGATGGACAAGATTAAAAAAAGAAAAAAATAGTTAAAATTTTGTTTATTGCAATTTACAGTATTGTTCAATACTATATAAAAAAATGTCATATTGGAATCATTTAAAAATCTTCCTTTTAAGCAGGATTTTGTCTCATGAATGCAAATGCATGTCTTTTTCTCAATTCAGCAAAACAAAACATGGAATTAAAATCGCACATCTTTTCCTCAATTAAAAAAAAACAAAACATGGAATAAGGATGATAAAGTGGAAATTGAATGTGACAAGCAAGTTGTTTGTAAAAATAAAATCTAACCCTAAACATGTGGATAACCACATCACACGCAAAAACATGTATATTAGTTTATATGTTGGAATATACGCGACAAAATTAAAAAAGAAAAAAGAAGCTAAAAATGTATATGAAATTTGTATGTTATTGCTCAAAGAAATACTAAACTACACGGGATATATACATGGACGGATTTAATGTGGGGGCAGTGGGATCAACTGTCCTCACACTAAGAGCGTGTTCGGTAGAGATTAAAATCAGATTAAAATTGAAAAACTAGCTGTTATTGTTGACTTTTATTAGATGAGTGAGACCCAATAAAGACTATATTTTCAATTTTAATTGGATTTTAAGCACAACCGAACACGCCCTAAATTTCAAATTTTGCCCAAGATCTTTTCAAAATTTTCAAAAAAAAAAAAAACATCCGTATAGTTTTCAATTTTTGCTCCGCAACTAAAATTTTATGAAAATTACCCACGCAATTCTTTCATCTTAGCTCCGTCCCTGGATATATAAATGGAACTTCAATGATGCAGTATTAATTAATTTACAAACTCAATAAAAATTTCTGCAGTGAATTCATTCTGAACTTTTATTGCATAATCAAATCAGACCATTCAAATTTATTAATAATCGTCAACAACACTTGATCAAGAATACAATACATATACACAATATTTTCACATGTTTTAATTAAATAATTACATGTCAACTAATCAATTCATCTTCTCTACCTGCCCATATGTTCTTCCTCTCTCATTCTTCTTCTTCCTTCCTACAATCATATATAAACAACAAACTTGTTAATAACAGAAGATATAATGAAACATAATCCATAAACTGTGAAAAAAAGTTCTCAAGAAATCACTTATTCAGTAAAAAGCACATACTTGGTTTATTTTTCCTTCTCGACTGGATGATATGCGGAATGAAAACACCAGTTCCATTGCCAGTTCTCCACAAGTTCAATATCCATGCAGGTGCTGCATAATCCTCTTTATTCCCTGACCAATTATAAAAACATCCAGATGGTTTTACAGAAGATGGCATGGGAATTGAACCGTGTTTACGATCCTCGGCCATGTTTGGACTATTTCTGTTTTCGTGTAATTCTTCATCATCACTATCTTCTTCTGTTAATAGCAAAACTTGCCTTCTAAGTTCACAGAAGAAAACATCGTCATCCTCTTCACGTTCTTCTTCAAATTCATCGTACAAGAAAACGTTCTTTGCATATATTTCTTGTTTAAGGTTGCTATGGAAATCCATTGAAAGGAAATGCTTGGAATTTTTGGTTTGAAAGGTTGAATTTATAGTTAAAAACCGAGAGAAAAGGTGCTTTGATAGTGGTCAATTTTCGAAGGCAGTGGAAGATGGACTTTTCAGTCTTCTAAGTGGTCCAAACGAGAAGAATATGCCTGTTTTTGTATTCATATTTGTGAAGTGGTCTATTTTCTTTAGGTTGAATCTTTCGTGGGATAAACGCATTGAAGTAAGAAAAGGTCAATTTGGAACATTCCAAATCTTAATTTAACTCAAAATAGTCTGAGAAAAGGTTATTCTGAAGCAGATGCTAGTTTGGAAAGCTTCACTATTTTTAATTATTTTTATTTTATTTCTATTGAATTTTAATTAATTAATTTTAGAATTCCTTTGGTCTTTTAGTCATTATTATGGTTCTAAGGTTTAGGGTCTATTTGAACATCTTGTTTTCCTACCATTTTTAAGGTGGTTATTTATAAATATTAATTGAAACATAACAGATTGTTCTTCAATTATCCACTGCACCGCTAATTTGTGCGTGAATTTGCGTTCAGGATCTAGTACTTGTTCTTGTTTAATGTGTATGTTTCAGCTTGCACCAGTTGGTATCAAAGACCGATCTACGCTCTTGAATCGAGATTAGAGGTCATGGTGCCAAGATTGACACATGTAACCAAATTAGTTTCCCATCATCCCTTTATGATGATGGGCAAGAGTCATGATGGTAAACACTCTACGAGCATTGTGGTTAGGCAAGGTTGACAACACGGTGGTGTCATTCGCTTGTCTAACTGCATGGACAGGATTGCTGACGAGGAACCCTAGGTTGGAGGAGGTTCTGATGGCCAAGGGCCAACCATCGATTTAAGATGGGCATATCAATAGCTGCAAAGGACGACGTTTTAGATTGTCTGATCTCTCACTGGTATAAATGAAGACGTGCAATTGATGGATACCAGAGAAAACAAGAGATACTTGATCTCTTGTTTATACTTCCGCCAACAGCACACTATCAATCCACAAGATAATTAGCACATGTAAATGCTCATCAAGAAAAGGCAAATGTTGTACTATGGCAACCACAAAAGCAACTGAAAAGTAAAATAAAGAGACATAGACAAGGTAAAATTATAGCAGCAGTAACACAAATTCAACAAAACGAAATACAAATTTTCAGAAGTTTGACATACAGTAAAATAGAGTGGAATCGTTTCTTTTATTCAAGCAAAGCAAGTGCAACAAGACTAGGAAGAGTAAACATGTCTCCGTGCATCTAAACTTCATTTGTTCAACATCCTTAGCTTTGTTTTATATCGGAGAATCCGCCTGCACACATGGTAGAGTCAACTATATATGAGAAGAAAAATGAAAGAAGTTAAACATATAATTATCTTTCATTGAATTTTCTGCCTTCAAATTACAAATCAATTGCAGCCACTTTGAATCATATTAGAAGTTTTAAGCCAAGTTTATTCAGACTCACAAATAAAATAATTGATTTAAAGTTGTTCACCTAATTCTACTCTTAACATATGAAATATCTAAAAGATGCCTTTCCTACCTTTTAGCCGGTGTCATTTGAGAATTTCAGAAAGTTCTATCAGTTATACTTGTTGGAAAATTTTTATTCCACTTGACTAGAAATAAGTTTCAATAATATGTAAGAATAAAACAAGAAAACTCCTGCCCAGTAGAACTTGTTATCTTGGACTTCTGCTTCATTCAACAGAATTCGGCATCACATTAAGGAAAATGATTCATGTCCTTAATTAGCGACGGAGCATGTAACACAATAAGTTTTATATACATTGAGAGACAAGAAACTTGGAAATCTTAACAATTGTTTGACATGCCAGTTTAGTAATTAAAAAGGAAACTTTTTTATGGTGCAGCAATTTTGGAAGAATTAATTCAATCTGAATCTTGACATAAATTTCTGCTCCTTAAAGTTCTCAATAGTAGTAAAAATATCAAGCCAGGAGAGTAAGATTTTACCTGTGAAGGAAACATTTTTGAGGAATGGAGATCATTGATCTGGAGGATAGACCGAAAGCTTAAATACAATTCCTTTGGTGACTTGCTTCTTAGCCTGGATTTTCCGGGCAGAAGCAGCAGCTGCTTTGGTGGTCGAATACAAGTCAATTATCTGGAGGCTTAAAACATCTGCAAGGCTCAATGGGACTGCTTCGAGGCTACTGCAGTGTTTAAGATAAAGACTCCTGAGTCTTGGGAAGTGACGAGTCGAAGCTTGCCAATGAACTAAATCTGTCTTTCCAATAAACAAGACTTTGAGAGCACCGAAACCTCCATCCTCTGGCTGCCACGACTTTCCCTGGAATGCATTGTCTTTCAACTTTAAGATCTCAAGGCTTTCCAACATTCCCAATGTAGCCATTTGATTCCAATCAAGAAGGGTGTCCTCCAGTGTCAGTTTCTTTAGATTTGGTGGAAATTTATATGGTCGGGGAAGGCCAGCAAGTTTACCTTCAGAAAGAGGCAGAGGAAAGACATCATTCAATAGCTTCAGATTTTCAAGGTAATCCAATTTTCCCAGGCTATCAAACAAACTAGACGCACCCTTGGTATCCAAATGTTTAGCTAATCGCCCACGAATACCCAATTTCTTTAGGTTTGGAGCCCTGGCAAGGACATCTTCTGTGCAACTTTCAGGTGATATTGTAGAAACTGTTCTTAGGTAGTCATTTATCAGAAAATGATCTTTGCTTTTTCTTGATTTGGCAAGAGATGTGGATGCATTTGTTTTTAGATGCCTCAGTTGAATCATCTTCCCTATATCTCCTTTGATTTCAAGGGTTCGTTCTGAAGTCTCAACTATAAGAGTCTGCATGTTCCAAAGGCCAGAAATGGAAGCAGGAAGGGTCTTCAAATTGCTGGACAGAACAAGATACCTCAAATGAACGAGTTGAGCAAGATCAGTAGGAAAACGAGTGAACAAAATGGGTTTAGCATCTAAAACCCTGAGCAATTTAAATGCTCCAGGGATGGAGGAAGTGTGTTCAGCTTGCAGGATAATTTCTTCAGAGGAGAAACACAAGAAAGACCGAACACGTGGACCAAATGGTTTTGAAGAGATATAATTCCAAACGCGGGAATGAATGCAAAGGCGACGATACATTTCCAAGGCAGGATTGGAGGATGAATAGGTAACTTGATCAAACCGTTTAATTTCTTGGAAAAAGTTTTCCTCTGCAGCTTGATTCTTGCAAAACACATGTAGCATGTCATGAACATGGCATGTTTTAACTTTTCCATTTGACCTTCGTCCTCCAACCATGACTAAATTCCTGTTGACAAGATCGTCTAAGTACTCCTCCGCAATATCCTCCAAGCTCATTCCCTCCTTTCGTTGTATGAATCCTTCAGCGATCCACAGGCGAACCAATTTCCACACCGGGATTTGGAAATCTTCTGGAAACATCCCGAAGTAGAGAAAGCACGCTCTCAAGTAATAAGGTAAGTGATTAAAACTCAAAGCTATAAAACTGTCCATACGTTTCTCCTGATCCATGGAAAGATATGCGTCCACACTTTTAGCAACCTTATCCCACCAATAACTTTCAGTACCTTTTTCCAGTAGAATTCCTCCAATCACCACTAGTGCGAGCGGTAGTCCGTCACATTCTTTGGCTATAAGCTTTCCAGGTTGTATCAACTCCTTAGGGCATTCCTCCACACCGAGTGCCTTTCTTTGGAGTAATGTCCAACTTTCTTCAGGATTTAGAAAACGTAAATTATGGGGCTCCATTATGGGGTTGGCATGCACAGCCACTTTCCGGATACGACTAGTCAGTAATATTCTGCTTCGCTTCTTATTTCTGGGAAAAGCAATTTTGAGATCATTCCAGGCATCCTCAGTCCAGACATCATCCATGACAATTAAATACTTGCAGTTCTCCAGAAATTCACGAAGTTCCTTGGCTATTTTTTCATCATTCATCTTATACATCTCATCACTGGGCTTAGCCAAATGACTCCAAATATTGAGAAATACTTCCTTTCTATTATATTCTTGAGAAACATAAACCCATGCTCGATTATAGAATTCATATTCAATTTTAGGATCACGATATATCATTTTTGCCAGTGTTGTCTTTCCAAGGCCGGGCATACCAATAATTGATATAACTTCTAGTTCGTCAGATCCTCCCATGAGTAGATTAGTAACGGTTTTTGCCTCATCTTCAAATCCCACCACATTGTCTTCCTCTACAATGGGAGCCTATATTATAGTGAACAATAATCATATCAGAATACCAAAAAGACAAGGTGCCAGTAGAGATCGGAATGCATTCAAGACTGTAATAAAACAAGATTAATTGTAAACTTTTCACAAGAAAATATCCGCGATGAAATATCTCTATCCATGTCTAAAAATCAATCCATAACTATTTCAAAACCCTCTAAAAAATTAGTTCTGCATTCTATTCGACAATAAACCATGAAAGCCTGCCAAAGGCTCTGAGAGTAGTTTAAAAAAAAAAAAAGAATCAAACATTTATATGACAAAGGACAGTTAATCAGATCCTTCAAAATTAGTAATAAACCAATCAATCCTAGAAGCATAACAAGATAGAAGATTGCGTTGACTTCTTGTCAACCCAATTTTTTTTTGTAAAAGAAGTATCCAATTTTCATGATGTTCACTAGTAGGCAACACTAAAAATACTAACACCAAGATCCAATCAAGATTAAGTACCAGAAAACAGAGAATTTTTTCATAATATCAACATATAAGCTAACCAAGAAATATAGCTCTAAAATAACTTATTTAATCAGTGTAATTACCTTTTTCTCTTTTGATTTGGTAGATCTTTCCCCATCTTGCAGTGCCTCCAACCCAAACTTCTTGTTGTCATATATATCCATCACCCTGGCCCTGATGCCCTCAATCTTTTTCCCCACACGTCGAAGCTTTGCTGGATAATCGAATATATGAAAAGCCCTCTCGATGCTAGTCCTTGACTTGTGCACAGCTGCCTGAGCAACAAATGTGTCCACAGTATCTTCAGCTACATAAACTACATCTCTGATTTGTTTCACCAATTCTTGAAGGGTGGCATTCTTGTTCCGCTTCTCGGTCGAGTCCTTGAGGAAAGCTTTGAACAAACTCAAATCATCGTACAGAAATTCCACCTGATCCTTCACGTCAAGAATCAGATCTGCTTTGTAACAAAGCAGCTGTTTCAAGTTTTCTAGCAGAAATGTTAGAGCAGCATCGGACATTTTTTTCGTTGATTAATTCTTGATCAAAAGTGAAATACAACTATATTGTAGCTATAAATGAAGATGAGAAAGCTTGAAGAAAGAACTGAGAAAAAGCAATCGGGAAAATTGGGCAGGACAAAAGTTCCTAATCTCGAATCGATTCGAACCTAATCGAATCTTCTTGAGTTAAATATGGGAATGGATATTTGAATCGAGAATCGACGGGTTCGATTGAATTTTCGATTCTAGATCAAGAACCGAATCTCTCTAATTTTTATTTTAAATAAGTTAAATTATTTTATATTTTTCTAAATGAATTTGTTAACTAATTAATTTAACTCAAACGTAAAATATGATTTTACTATTTCTAATTTTCAGTCAACCCAACTTAATCAAATTGACCCAATTTTACCCAAATCTTTTATTCTACCGTAGTGTCGCTTTCGTCGTTATATTATTGTGAACTAACAATTTTTTACTTCTTGTGATTTTAACAGTCAAATTTATGAAGAACTCAACAAAGAGATACGCAAAAGATATCATCAAATTGGACTATATTATTTTGTAAGAGTTAATGTTGAACATATCATGTCGAACTAATGTAGCATTGTTGTAAATATAAAAAAATTAATTATTATACGAAACTCGGGAACTGAATAAAACAGAACCGAACCTAACATAACCGAACCGAATCGAACCGAACTGAACAGAATGAAATCGAACCCGAACGGTTCCATAATTAAATTTGGATCCGACGGTTCCACTTACTATTAGAATCCTACATTACTTGAGAAAATATAAAGGATCCACTTAATAAGGTGATGGCAATCCTCCCATAATAAACCGATTTTATTAGGTGGAATTAGGCCCAATATTCCTAACATGGTATCAGAGCTAGGCTCAATTTATGCAATGTTGGGTGCCACCTAATATCGATTTGTTCACAGTTGTTTGGCATGGTCCACGCTGTGCGTGAGGGGGC